AAAAAAATAAAAAAGGGAAATAAAATAATATAAAAAGAAAAGTTAAAGGGAAGGAAAAGAAAAGAGCAAAATAAAAAAATAAACAACTCAAAAATTTTCTAAAAAAAAAAATTTCAAGCACAGAAAAGGGAGTGGAAAAAACTTTTTTTAATAAAAATATTTTAATAATAAAATTATATGATTTTTTATTAATAATTTTTTCTAATGAATTTAAATAAATTAAAATTAATTAAGTTAAAATTTAAAAATAATTTGATAATATACAGTATTTAAAAAAATTTATTAAGAATTGATTATTTATATAAACCATCATATATATAATATATTTATATTAATTATATTTAAATATATTTATTTTTACAATGTTTTATAAAATAAAAAACAAGTACAAGTATAACAAATATCATATAATACATTTAATTTTCTTCCTAGCAAAAAGAGATACGTATATACGGTATTAGTCTAGGGATTATAGAATTACTTAATAAATTACAAACTAATAACTGTCTTCGTTCCATAAAACAATAAAATAAAATACATTTAATTTTATAAAAATTTATAGATTTGTATATAATATAATTAACAATAAAGTATTTTATTTGAAAATAAATTAGTATACTAATAATTATGACTTTTTCAAAATAAAAATAAAAAATACTATTAATTAGCATTATCAATTTATTATTTTTTAACTATTAAACTAATAATTTTTGTGTACAGTATACAGTAAACCCTTCTTAGATGCACCTCCTCGGGATCATATGAAAAATTTAACAAAACATGCATTTAACGAGAGTGTGCATTTAGAGAAGTTTTACTGTATACTATCGTATAAATTAAATAAAACATATGAATCTTTAAGAAAGTTCATGTTATATCTTTTGATTTTTATATCGTCTAATAATTATTTGATTTATAAAAAATTAATAAATTTTACTCAACGTTCCGAGTATTTTATTACCCATTGCAAAATATAGTTTGTAAGAATTCCCAGACGAAAATTCAGACACGATTGAGACTTCAGCCAACAGACATTTGTACCACGTGATACAATTTTTTTTGGAGTCTATATAGGAAAAATTAAGATTAACCTGTTCAATCGGTCTACTAACGCAAGTTTGCTAATCAGACTAAAGAGAAAAAAAATCAGTTTCTTTGTTTAAAATGCCGAACGCTATCTCCACAGGCGACACCAATAACACTAATAATGCACCCTCCAGCAAAAAAACCAAGAATAAAAAGAAGTCTCTAGCCGTAACTACTTCAGAGGATGTTTCACCTTCACGTCAAGAACCACTCTCTCCTACTACACCAGCTCCTGACACTGGGGATGGTGGTATTGAGAACGTGAACAAGAATCCATACATCGAAGTGATTAATAAAAGGATCAGAACCTTGAAGAAAAAGTTGGTAGGCACTAAATTTAACGCACAAGTTTAATAAAACACGTCCAAAGTTTTGTAAAAACGTATATCTTGGAATACTTGTCATTTACAAAAGAGCTACTTTTTTAATGATAATTTAAAAAAATATCTGTTGTCTAGAACAAAATTGAGAAAGTTGAAGAAGTCATTAGGAACAATCCCGAAGCAAGAAGTCAATTAAATCCTGATCAAATTCAGTCATTAGAACGAAAATCCGAGGTCACGAGTACCCTCAAGGAATTAGAAGAAATCGTAAAACAATTCGAGAAAGAGGTTACTAGTTTGAGTTTTTAATTTTAATTTTAATGACATTTGTATTTAAATTGATTTTATTATTTCTTTAGGATATCAAGAGTCAAAAAGCTCAACAACAGGAACGCGAACAGGCTATTTCTAGTGCAGTGGGAGAAGTCAAAGTATCTAACATTTTCAATTAAAAGCATTAATATAAGCATATAATTTGTGTGATAACCTCAATTTTTTTTACCAGGCCGTACACTCACAATACATTATAAGCCTTGTTAAATTTTTCCGCCTTGTTCAACTTCATAAATCGGGTGCTACTCGATTGAACGAAGTCGAATCCGAATCCCTCGAAACCCTTCAGACCTCATTTTTCAATATAGCCGAGAGTTCCAAAGATGAGCAAGTTGGCGAGCAACGAACTCTGGAAATTCTGGAACATCTTAAAAAATTACACCTCGGTGATGAAAAAAATATCAGTAAATCAAATGGAAGTGAAATAACCTGTATGTTTGAAACACTTCTTTAATGAAGTTTTTATGGAAACAACCAACCTAAATGAATGATTGGCTAACGCGAATTTGATCGCGATTTTCAGATCTTCATATTCGTTCATTAATTCAATGTCCGCCAATAAACACCGAAGAAGAGGCGGAGCATGAAAACACAGAGGCGAGAGAAATAGTCATCAATCAAGAGGAAGGGACAAACCATCACGATGATAATCTTGGTATGTATTAAAAAGTTTGTTCTGAAATTAAGAAATCTATTCCTTTTCTCATGTTCTCTCTTTCGTCTTAGGCGATGTATACACGATTCCAGCCGGTGGCTTGCAGTTTATGTTGTCTCATGGTATATATTGGTGTATTTAGGATAATCATTATGTTTTAGTAAAATTGAAATACGTATTTTAATTTATTTTACTCTTCCTACAGATGAACCTTCATCTCAAGATCCAGCAGTTAATCAGAACATTGCCATTTACCAGTACACTAACACAGGTGACGATCAACCCAATCCAATAGTTACAGATAATAACGATATTCAAGAACCATATCAGAAGCAACAGACATTCACCGAGACGTATGTGACGCAAGAATATACGGTAGAACAACAAGATTTTCCTACTGATCAAACCGATCAAAACCAGTTCTCCGCTGATCAGCAACAAGAACAATCGGTGAATTTTCAAGAGCAATCTAAACAGGTCACCGATGACCAATCTGATGCTCAACAACCACCGAAGTCGGCTTCTCAACAATATGATCAACCACCGCCACTTTCACGTTCTTCAAGTAACCGAGGCCGTGGTTATCGAGGCAGGGGTGGACATCGAGGACAAGGGCCGAATTTAAGGAGAGATAGTAGGGACGGAAATTATCGAAATGGTGGGCATGGCGGAAACTTCCGCGGTGGAAATCGTGGCGGTGGTGGCGGTGGCAATGCTTACTCTGGTCGGGGTAGGAGTAATGGATATCATCAAGGTAAATGTCGTGTAATTTCTCCAAGTAAGCGAATCAACCAAAATCAATAATAATTATTAACTTTTTGCGCATTAATTTTGTTTTAACAAGGTGGCCGCGGTCCAAACAAACCACGTTCTCAATAAATAAAAAGTGTTGGGTGTACATGTTAATTGAAAGGTCGGGATCTTTCAATAGGGAGTTTTAGCGTCGCAGCACACTGATCTCTTTAAAAAAGAAAAACAAACGAACAATTTATATAGGAATTCTTTTGAATTTTAGAATATTTGCACAAGATCATCCTTCGATTTTGTAAAAATATGTATAGTCAATAATTGTCGATTGGCTTCTTTTTTCGTTTATTTAATTTTGCGCTGGTAAACCCAAATTAATGTCTAAAGTTCAGGAAACTCTTTGCATCCACCATAATGTAATAAAAGCAATCAGTGGCGGTAAAACGGAAATGTTAACGATGTATGTCTCCGAGCGTTACCCACAAATTATAGACTATTTTAATTTTTTAAACATTCATATACTGCAACTAACGAAATCAAAGTCGAAATCGGTTCTCACGAGGAAAATTTATAAATTATGTGATAATGTACAATTCAAAAATGTATGCAATATAAATACCATACAAAGCTCTTCCTCCCATAGAATAATTGAGTGAATGATAATTCTAATAACTATTTATATATAAAAGCGATAGCAAGAAATTCAACTCTCCCTTCACTATTAATAATCAGCTAATAATGCAGCTCCCCTTTCTTTGTTTCTCCTTTTTTCGTTCTCCCGATGAAGACGCGGTGGTATGTGTACTACCTGTAGATGATACTTGTGAAGTTGCATCGTATTGCATCTGAGATGGAGAAAGGTGATTACTATCATTGCGCTTTGACGTTTGTCGCTGTGCTTCTTGTTGACGTTGTTGTTGTTGTCTACGACGGTATTCTGCTTCGCGATCGTCCTCTTGTTGTTGAAGGCTTAATGCAAGTGCGTAGCTTCATTCGTCAACAGTAAAAAATAATTAGTTAATCGATGAGTTTAAATGTGGAAAATCATAGAAATAAATGCAATCGGCATACTCTTGATCTCCTCCTCCTGGCACTTCATGTACTTCGGTAACGTCCACGTAATCACCACTGGTAGCTTCACATTTACGAAATTTCCCGTCGACAAATTCAGACGCATTTTGATCTACATCTATGAGCGATTCCCATACCACAGAACGCTCGTGAACAAATCCAGCATCTGTAACTAGAATATACAGTACCGAAGTTTTTGGATGTTTGTAAAGCGTGGAAAACTAATATTGATTGATCATTGGCGTGAAAAAGGAAAGATAACGATTAATTATTCTTCTAAACAACTCTTGTTTTTGCAAGAACTCACGTGATTATTCCGGAAAAATACACAGAGATTTCCAGGTGGCAATGTTTCGGATAACGTCAATAGTCCATGATACGTTAGTTGAGTCGCATTTGATTCCAGAAAATGCGACGTAATCTCCGCTAAATAAAAAATGAAGTAGAAACTTAGGAAAAATCTCATGATCTGCAGTTTTTAAAAATTGGTATCTTACCATCTCGTATTCTTTCAACGACACTCGCGTCATTCTCGGGTTTTCCATCAGATTTTTTCTCGGAACTTTCTGACACCACACCAGAATCCCCTCTCACCACACATTCAACTGCTTTATTGTAACTTTCACATTTTCCCACCACGACATCCCATGTGTCCTGATCTTGTGGATCTACCACCCATCCATGAACCAATTCTACATTGAAAACATCAAATACCGATAGTTCAGCAGTAGGCTCAAACCCATGAATAGAGTTAAATCTGACATTTACATCCAAACCGGTTTGTAAAGAAGGAATGATAGACAGCGCTGCGTTTAATGTGTGATGATAATCTTGCAGAGATGGTCTCGCATATGTCAAAATGGATGACGTGACATTTTCATTTTTGGTTTTTTCATCTCCGGCTTCGACTTGTCCCTTGTCTGTACTGTTATCAGTTCCATTTATGAATTCTTCTGGCATCTCCTGCTGTACCTGATCCTTCGGTGGTGACTTATCAATTGTCAAATTCTCTAATCCTTTTTGAATCTTTATCCAACATTTTATATGCGTGCAATATGAGGCATAGAATTAGAATAAGTCTAAAAAGATTATTGTAATTCCTTTTTTTTCCTGCTGATTTCATTTAAAGAAATTGTTATATTAACCTCGGCCTCTCCATGTGGGATTGTTTTCAACAAATAGTCACCCAGCAATTCCACAAGATAATCATAAGTTACAGATGGTCGGTCATAAGGTTTAATTTCGATTACTCCTCTTAAGAGCAAAACATTGCCTAAAATAATGATAATTTTGTGTTAGTGGTTTCATTGTACATGGTACGATATTGTACGATAGATTGAAGGTAGACTCACAAAGTGCTAACAAAGGACACGGTCCATTTTCTGGATGAGAGCATCAACAAAAATCATGGTTAAACAAGGCAATTGTAATCAGATTGTGAAGAAAATTTAAGGACGTAAGTTGAAGGGAATACCATTCTGTGTGATGACCTTCAAACGCCGCGTCTCCCTCGAAGACGGATCATCCCATTCAATCGCTTTTAGCTGATACTCATTCGCGAGCTGCTTGGGTACAGGCTTCTCTTCCTCCGACGCTTTTCCTTTTCCCTTATTTTGAGATGTCTGAATAGAAGTTGTAGTCTGGATCTCGATCTCGTCTGACATGACTATGGCGATTTCCGAACTTTCGGAAATCGATCTTACCGATACATAAAACTCAGTTTACCTTATATAACTCAACCACGAAAATCCATTCGACATGTTGCACGTGGAAAAGCCACACGCAATATTACTATACGATGGCTGATACCGCATGTTTTTGGTCACTTGGACGAATTATCAGAGTTCACTTTGGATAATTTAAAGCTTGTTATTTTTACTTGCTATAGCCGGAAGGATAGGTTCCTTTACTCTTTAAAATCGAGAAATATTTGATCCAAGCGAGGTATAAGAATTCACGGAATTTTTAATATAACCCTAACGACCGCATTCAATCAATTCAATTTGAAAGCAAATTTCCAGCCATTCAGTGGCGTAGCACGTAACACAACGTATCTTGGCAAGAAACACCAGTTATTTTTTTTTTAAAAAATAAATGTGTTTCTCATAAATTAATTATTTAAATTTTCATTAATTAATCGACAAGTAATATATACTGTATATAGTATATTTAATTATATACATACACGCATATATTATTTATTTATTAAACTAATTTTTTGATAGAACGATGTGATAATTTTCAAACCATCAATTTGACCACATCCATCACAGAAGAGAATATGCTTCCATCTAAGAAAAAAAAAAAAAAAAAACAACATTATCGGAATGATGAATGACTCAGAACAACAAATCATCAAATATTCTCGAGTTATTCCAGTCAATCACTGATTGCAATACTTTATCCGGATACAAATTTGTTATCTTTTGTTTGAGGTAAATTAATAGTTTTTCATGGTGTGACTTTTTCTTATTTAGAATGTGATAAAATGCCCTTATGCCCAACCTTAAAAAAAAAAATATATATATATATATATATAATATGAATCACTAATGCCGTATGATTATTAGAAAAGAAATGGAAAAATCTTTTTAAATGCATACCACATAACTTCATAATGTTTAACATCACACTCGTAATTAGCTTGAATTATTATTTGCAATTGTATTTTATTGCGTAATACCTTGTATACGCATTCGATAGCATTGTTAATGACATCTACAATGTCAGATTCAAATTCAAGTCAACAACGTGGCAAGGTTTAAATCGGACAATTAAGAAGAGTAGAGTGGAGCATACCTATTTCAAAATATACATTCTTATGATCGCCTTTATGTGGCATGCCCCTGATATAATGGTGAAATTTCATGGCCGACATCAAAAAGTTTTGGTAAATATTAAGCAACACAGTTGCTCGGGAATTAAATGACGTGTCATTGTATATCGGATGACATTTTGTTGTGACAATTCTATTTAAATAGTAAAAATGAACAATTAAAATTTGTGTATTGAAGATTGTGAGAAACATTGATAAAGCATTTACTCAATCATCTTTCGTTTTAATGTTTCCCCAGGCTTGTTTACGGTCTTAATCGTCAAAGAATCAGTGATATCTAATTTTTGACAGATCAAGGTTTTAATAATGTTTGAACTTCATACTTCACAAGGTGTTACTATACTTACATGAACCAATGTAGCGTGTGTAATCCACCTTGCAATTAAGTGTTTTGGTGTTAATCAACATGCCACACCAAGGAAAATCTTTTTTTTTTTTAAAAAAAAAATAAGAATAAGCACGAAATAAATAAATAATAAAATTTAAGATCATCGTGTCAGTTGAGAGAATGCACACCCAAACTGTCATCCAACTTCTTTACAAGTTTGCCATTAATCTTGATATCAAAGTTTACCAAACTTTTTTCTTCATTTATAAAACACCTATACTTGGGATGACCTACAAAACATGGTGGGCAAATCAGTTCACACTCTTGTCTACAGGAGCGACAAGTTTGATTAAATACCTCGATTCATTGCTGTTATAAACCTGACAACCTTTGTTCTGCGGGTACTTATGTAAAGAAAATCGTCAAGAAGGCGGAGCATCACCTTGAGATAAATAAGGATAATTTAATAATGTCCTTTTCTGAGTAAATATGAGTTCTCCCTTTAACTTACTCCATCGTCATGTCTCACAAAAGGAAGTTCGTTCCATTCCATGGAGCCATAATAAAAACTATTAAAAGCAGAATGTTTTTTAAATTACGTTATATCAATAAAGATATGTGTAAGCCGCCAACCTGCAAAGCAATGTCGATACTACTGATCCCTGTGGAATTCCAATAGTCTGTCGATAAAATTTACTTCCAATCTATGGAATTAGAATTCATAGAAAGTTGGAAAAATTCAACAAGTTCATGAATACTGACGACACATTGGATAGAAAGAATACCTTGACCAAGTTATTTTTGAGATGCTTTTCTAAAAGATCAAGAATAACATTTTTATCTGTATATGTTTCTTTAACGCGATCCACGATCACGCTGTTTATAAACTTGCTTGCAAATTCTCGCGCATGGTTTGGAAAATTAGCAAAATCATCTAAATGAAAATAAGAGTCATTCGCGTTCATTCATTCATTGATTTCACCACCTTGTGCCAATAGAAATATTGGGAAAAACCTGATGTATTGGCATAGCGATAAAAATGTGACCGAATTTTGCCACCATGATGATTCACCACATCGTATTTATGTATAGCATAATCACACTAGCATAAATGGATTCCAGTTAATCATCAATATTGTCAGAATGATAACGATTATTAAAACAACATCCTTCGAACTTCAATTAAGACGTCGTTGATTATCTCCAGCAACTGATCTTGATCAATGGACTCAAAGCAGCAACAAACATCGACTTTTGCAAAGTACAGCTTTTTCCTGAACCATGTGAATGATTGATCAGAATGAGTGGCATCAAATAGATAATCATCATAATACACTATACATACTTTTGTTGACCAAGTTGAACTAATCTTTGCTGAAATTGCTTTAATCTTTCATAAATTTCATTGAAACTGAACAATGAACCTCCGAGATATGAGGAATTACGATCCATTGCTTGTCTTTCCTGAAGATCCACCCATATTATATTAATTCATTTTACACATACAATTTTTGAAATATATTGAAAATTCCGTAGAAAACTGACCTTCTCGAAATTCAGTATATGAAAGGTATCTTGTAAAATAGAATTAATGGGTTTGGGAACTCTCTTTTTCTTTGAGGATTGAAACCCGTATAATGTATATGTATATACAATTTAAGATCTACCACCTTCTTTATCCAAATGATGATCATAAGAGGAATCTTAACACTTACTTTAAAGTTCACTATCGGTCGAACGTCTCCTTTCTTATTTTTTGGAAGCAACCTAACATTTGAATACCCTAATGCCTCTCCGCTTTGAAGCAACTTTTTACCTTCACACTAAAAGGGACAATGCCGTCAATTAAATTTTAACAAAAAAGCACTGCGTGAATGTGTTGCATTAGATTACCAAAGGAATCTCCTCAAAAGTAGACTCCGTAAGTGCCCTTACGCCCTTTTGCACAATACGACACCAAACATCATGCCGGTAATAAAATATCCGATACTTGCAAGCCGTATTAGTTGTTATATAAAAATTATTCTTGAAAAAGAATATTTGAGAATAGATTAGTTTTTTAGCATTAGTAATAACTAATGATCATTACAATTCTTGTACCCTCAGGAGCGGAATCAAGAAACACTCGAAAGTCCACCAAACAAATTCATTGAGAATTTCCACACGTTTGTCAGCCTCAACCTTGTTATTTTTTGCACCCTTCAATTCAAGCCATTTGCACTGCTTGATCTAAATTATTAGACAAAAAATTGTCAAGTTAAATAATTAAACAAGATACGGCCAAAAATATATAAATATATTTACTTTAAATTTCAATAAAACCTCATGCAAAGAAAGCGTTTCGTAGCGTCGAAGCAAGATAAACTTTTCAACGGCTATTTAATGTCACGATTACTATTAGAGTACCAGATTCTACATATCGAAATAAAACTAAATGATTACCCTTGAATATATTCTTCTGGTTTTCCAAACAACCCCAAAACTCCTCGGGAATTACTTGACGCATCACGGCAATAGCGAAAGCCACAACCTGTTTTAGTGGAAGTTTAGTTTCCGGATAAATCACCGTGTCTAATGAATAGGAAATACCTGATGCGCATTTTCCGCGCAAGACTCGTTAAAAGTGTCACCAGATTCGCATTCCAGTGGATCATTCTATGGAAAAAAACAGAGTAAATTCTTGATTTTTACTGATGGATCAATGGTGAACGGAAATGGATACCTTAATAGGACAATACTTATCAAGTAACGTAAAGTAACTACATTTCTTATGCTGTTTTACCATGCACTTCAACATCGGCAACAATTCCATCAGGCGAGGAGGGGCTCGTGAAATTGGCTTCTAAAAAAACAACAAGAAGCTATGAAAAATAGAAGGTTAATAAATATATATATACATTCTTAAAAAAGACATTTACCAAAACCTCTGTGGATCTATCCATGTATAATTTAAATACCACTTGTGGATTTGTTTTCGCATCATTATCGTAAACAGAAAACACGTTGCGAAGACCAAATTGCATTGGAAAGATGTGACGAAGAAAAATGTTTATTATCTCCTCATCTTTCGAAGATTTGGCTATATTCAAAATATCTATTAAAGGAAAAAAACTTTAATCAACATCGAATCCTTAATTCAAATTACTTGTTCGCTTGCTTACGATCTCTAGGCAACCCGGCCCGGAAAGTTCCACCGACATCATAGAACGGAATGTAGCAGAAGAATATTTGCGATCGACTAAAAAATATATTTGCACGAGTTTTAACCTTAGCATCATTTTTTCCCTCAATTATAACAATCTTATTCGGAAGCTCATCGTAAGATTGCCGAGATCTTTTCCTTGAACCATGATTGATCCCCAATAACCCATCGAAAGAGTCAAAAGATGAGTTCGGCGTCATTAAAAAGTTGTGAGTATTGTTTTCAGGTGTCCTTAAGCTAGAAGTACCGGTTAATTCACTAATCAACATTCCTACGCTCACATTTGCATCGATATTAGTTAATGTCGTGTATGATCTGAATCACAAAAATTTCGAAAATCGTACCCGAAACCTGAAGATAGGACTTATTTGGAAGTGCAACAAATATCGATGCATTTCTCAACAAATATTTCATTACCGCTTCACCAAGCCTGATGAATTTCAAATAAATTACGCCCTGAATTCATAGCTCCGAGGATCAAATGTTCTGACCCACTCACCTTTTAAAAAGTTCCTTCCAATTTTGCGATCGTCGAACATGATCAACAGTGGAATTATCGTATTCTATGCTAAAGCCCTTGGGATTCATTGAACGCGGCTAGAAATTACACAGCACGGTTCCTTTAGCTGATCGGTGTGTGTCAAAGATTGCTAACTTATCAGTAGCTACCTTAACGAAGCCAAGAGACAA